CGAAGGGCGTCGGCACCGCGTACGCCTCCGCGCTGCCTGACCCCCGCGCAGAGCGTCGCCGAGCCTGGCGTGCCCGCCCGCTCGCCCGCGGCCGCAGGCGTGGAAGCCAAGCATCCTGGCGTCCATGGCAAGCGCTCACATGCCAAAAGACACCTCGCACCGCGCGAGACGTGACCGAAACGGCACGCCTCGGCGCCGCGAGAGCAGCCGGTCGACGTCGCCACGTCGGCACCAAGCGCGCGGCCGCCGGGCGCCTCCGAACCGACAGGGGCGCCGCGGCAGTAGAGAGCACTCCACCGCCATACCGTTTTATGGCGCCGGTCTCTGATGCGACTGAATGTTGTAACCGGGGAAAAGAATTGCAAGCGACCGCGCCTCCACACCGCTCCACACGTCGAGGCCCCTCGGAAAAAATGCAAGACGGCGAGGACATCACTCGCGACTCCTTCGAGGCTGCGGCGGCGGCGCTCGAGGCGCTGCTCGCCACGGCGGAGTTTGTGGCTGTCGACGCGGAGTTCACAGGCATTAAACTGCCGGGGACAGTACCGCAAGACCATGACTCGACGCAGGCGCGCTACACCAAGATGCGGAGGGTGGCGTCCGAGTTCTCGCTCGTCCAGCTCGGAATCTGCACCTTCCACCGCCCTCCGCCGGGCGGCGGCGCCGCCGCAGGGAGCGCGCTGCAGGCGCGACCGTTCAACTTCTTTGTCCGCCGCGCGGCTCCGAGAGGCGGAGACAAGGTCGTCCTCGACTGCAGCACCGCCGAGTTTCTGCGCGGGCAGGGCATCGACTTCAACCGCTGGCTCGACCACTCTGTCCCCTACCGCTCCACCGCCGACGCGGCGGCGGCGGCGGAGGCGGTGCGGCAGCGCGTAGCAGCACAGGCCGAGGCTGACGCCGAGCGGCGGGCCCAGGGGAGGGTCTTCTCGCCCTCGAGGCCCGCGGAAGCCGCCTTTGTGAACGAGGCGATGGAGCGGGTCGCCGCGTGGGTGGCGAGGGCGAGGACGCAGCACGCGAGCGGCGCACCGCCGGAGCCGCTCACGCTGCCAGAGTGCAACGGCTTCTTGCGCAAGTGCCTCTACGCTGCCATTGAGCATGCGCACCCGCCGGCGGCCCACAAGTGGCTGGTCACCGAGTCGCTGGAGGGCGAGGGGGGAGGGAACAAGGCGGTGCGGCTGCGCGTGCGGCCCGCCGAGGAGGCCGCGGCGGAGCCCTTCTCCCCCGCCATGCACGCGGAGGCGCAAGTGGCCGAGAAGCTCAGCAAGCTGCGCGAGTCGGAGGGCTTCCTTCGCGTGTGGCGGGCGCTCGTGGCCGCAAAGGTGCCCGTCCTGGTCCACAATGGGCTGTTCGACCTCCTCTTCCTCCACGACGCCCTCATCGGCCCGCTGCCCGCGCCGTGCACGCAGTTCAAGGCGGCCGTGCACGCGGCCCTACCCGAGGTGTGTGGGCACTTCCGAGACACTTCCTTCGTCCACCTCTCCCCCGCAATCGCGACACACGCCTCTCCGAACCGACCCCCCTCGCCGCTTCCCCCGCTCAGCGCGCTCCTCCGCCGCCACGCCACCGCCTGTGGCATGCCGCCGACGCTTCCACCAACGTGTCCGCAGGTTTGGGACACAAAGCTGCTCGCCGACCAGTCGGGCGCCTACTCGGACACGGCGCTCAAGCCGCTCTACGAGGCGTGCTCCGCCGAGGCGGCGGCGGACGCGGCGGGCGACCCGAACCGGCCGCATCAGTCGCCCCCTTTCCCCTCGGGTCGCCTCTTTGCACTCGCCGACGGGTGCTCGGCGGCGGGGCAGAGAAGCACGACTCCATGGCACGTCGTCGACACGCCCGCGGCATGTTTCGCAGGTTCGCCGGTTGGGGCGCCGCCGACCGCAGCCACCACGCCGCCTTCGACGCGCTGATGACGGGCGCCGCATTCGCGATGTTGCGCGCAAAGGGCTTCGCGCCCACCCGGCTGAAGAATGTCGTCCGCTTGGCAAGGTCGGTGCACGACCTAGCGCTCGACGCAGAGGTGCCCCCCTACCCCCCCCCCCAAACCTCCCCTCCCAATCCCCCCTTCCCTCCCAATCCCCCCTTCCCTCCCAATCCCCCCTCCCTCCCAATCCC